AATATATATATATATATTATATATATATATATATATATATATAATTCCAAATAATTAATATTCATGTTATTATTAGATTTTATATTTTAAAGATGTAAAAATAATACAGCTTTTTAAATTTATCGAGTTAATTATTTTTTTAATTTAATCCATTGCGTCTTTGTTTCGATTCATGCATATAATAGTCAATCTTTAATAACAATAATTTAAATTGTTCGACGTATTCATAAATATTTTGTGCAGCTTTGTTGATATTACTAAAAATGCCATCATTGACATTTAAATTTAAATGTTCCAGCCCATCTAGTGACAGCAACAATGGCAATTTCTCTACAGAAATATGAGGATAAAAAGACTTGACTACATGAAACCTGAATGAATGTGACTTATTGTTTGATAACTCTGCAAACTCGCTTATCGCAGAAGCCGGTAGTGCATAATACAATCTGTAAGGAATCCTTTTGACAGCAAACTTCTCTTCACAATCTTTAATCTTCCTGGCGATGGTATCAAACACCTGTGGCAGAGATTTAGAACCTTGCTCATATAAATGAAAATCCTGTTTCAATTTATATTTATGATTACTGCTACTGCGGTAAATTCTGCGGGTATTTCGCAGCTGTAACAACGCAGTAGGCAATGAGTAACTATACGAAGTATATAAATGCACGTGAGTAAGATGTGGTTTGGCTTTCAGTTCTGTTGTGAGATGAGATGCGAGTTGTAAAACTCCACCTTGATGCATAAAAGCATAGAAAAAAGTCAATAGCAAATTAATGATGTACCAGACTACTAATTTTTTAGACTTAAACCTCTTCAGCTCAACAGAACTATGGGATTCATTATTTTCATCATTATATCTTCGGACAACATCCAGACAAGGGACTTGACTCAACTCGGGTGCGTGAAGAAATACCAATGGTAAGAGTACTGGAATTATAAAACGAGGTTCTTGATGAGGAAAAAGAGATAATAACGCGACTGGAACGATGAATGTAAATGTCATCAAGCCTACGATGCTCTGTAGACGTGGTAAATGCAGCCATTGCGCTTTCAATCCACTGGAAAAGAATATTATTGTTAATGAACCATTTCATACCAATTGATATAACTTACCTATATATCATTTTCATGAATGTCAGCAATCCAATAATTCCCAGAACGTTAAACAGTAGCGGTATATTTACTAGAAAATGTAGGAAACGTGGATGCAGTCCATGTGATTTCAAATTTTCCTCTTTTACATTATACTTAAGGAAATTAACTGGCGTTACTACAAAATTGTCAATTCCGATCTCAAGTTGACCTATTTCCCCTATTGTTAAATAACCGAAATAGAAACTATCGATTAGAATAAAAAATAGTATAGTTGGTAATCCACAGAGAATAAAGACGATTATTCTGATGTGAAAGTCTTTAAAGTCAACGCTTTTCGAATTCAATCCTCTTTGCAGCCAGAAAAAGATGGGAACAAAGGCAAACGCGATGAAAGTTGGTCTATTAAATATTCCTATTACTGTTATCGTAGCTAGCACAAAGCAATCATTCAGAGAATGCGAAGGTAGTAATGCTCTGAGCTTATAATATTTGACTCGCTCTACAGCAGTTGTTGCTTCATTGTACTTCTTGGAAAGGTAATCATTCTGCAACACTACCTGATATAAAACAATAAAATTTTTAAAGTAATATGAAATAACAAGCAATAACAGAATTAAAAGTGAAATATCTCTTATTTATATAAATGAGAAATTTCTTTAAAATTAAATTCCTTTTACTAAATTTTTCTCTATAAATCCTCATCGACTATTCTCATGTCATTTAATTTTTTAAAAAAGTTAGACGTACTTTTTCTGAATATACCATGCACCGGGAAACAAAATATAACAGTGCAGCGGTCAATACCAATTCAATAGAGTTGGATAGCGTACGAGTGGCATAGGTGAGCATAACATATGAACTAGCATATGTGACAAGTCTGACTCTGTAGTTCTGTCCATACATATAACAGATCTTGTATAAAAAATAATCAGACAAAAAGGAAAATGCACACATGAAAAGCCTTGGGAAGAGTACAAAGAAATATGGTCTCTTTAATGACAATCCAAGAAAGTGAAACGTATATGGAGACAGTCTTTTGAGAATTGCATAAGGCAAACCAACAACAAGTTGAGGAATGAATATAGAACGTATAGGGAAAGTAGCATTAAATTCCCATGACTTATAGACGTCAATATCAAAATGGTCTCCTGTAAAAAGAAAAAAGATAAATATTGATTATAAAGCAAATGTTGAAATATGTAACAGAATGATGGAATACCAGAGATAACTTCAATGGATTGAAAGAATTCATCAGGATGAATATAGCCAGTTTGTAAAACAAAAGTAAGAGTTATTCTTAATCCGGCCAGAATCCAATAAAGGCCGATTCTACGTCGCACAGGTGCCACAGATTGATAATCATCAATGGATTTACGATACTCGTTCTTATGCTACAGATAAAAATATTTTATACATTAATGTAAGTATATATAAAAGTAAATTTAAAACATACAAAAATAAAGATCAGATTCAAAAAGATAAAAATATTTGATAATTTATTTAGAATTATCTCCTTACCTCAAATTTTAATAAAAATCTACCCATTCGACGCGTTTTCACTCAAAACGAAAGAATCCGACAGAAAAATATGATGGTCTGCCTCGCAAAACAAGTTATTAAGCGTTAAAATTCGAGATTTTAGAAGTTAAGATATCTATCATACTGGCTCGATACAGTGTTGTACATACTATAAATTAATTCCTAAAAATAAATATTCTCTGCTTTGATTATAATAAATTCTCTGCTTTAAAATGCAAATTCTCTAATGCAAATGCTCTAAAAATTATATACAAAAATGTGTTTTTAAGAGAATTTGTATAATTAAAGCTGAGAATGCTTATTTTTAAGAAATAAATGACGGACCATAGTGCAAACTTATTTATTTTGTAAAACAAAAATTTATTCATATTTATTCATATTTATGAAAAATATATAAATATATTTATTAAAAATTTAAAATGTTATATATGTGTATGTATATGTGTGTGT